AATTGCCCCAAACATGATTCTTCTGAGCTAATGGTGCTCTTGTGAGCATTAATAAATGGAGGACCTTACTGTACCACCATTGAATGCATGTTAGCAGTTTACATTAAACCAGTTTTTTTTTTTTTCATTCAGAACTCATCTCAGATAGGTCGATGACATCTTTTGAATATCATAGGGTTCCATTTACTGTGCCCTCCACTCTCTGGGTGACTGATCCACCTTCTGGTGATCCTGTGGTGATGCAGCTAGCACATTGCCACTATGCTGACAAGACTCCTGTAAAAACAGGGGCACTGTTTCAGGTGAGTAGGGTAAAAGATTTTTCTTTCTTTGAAACGATGTACAAATGGTTTTCTAAGGATGGGAGAAGATCAAAAGAAATGCAACGTGTTTCTTTAAATAAAAAATGTCCTTCAGTCTATTTCTATTCCATGAATAACAAGCTTCAAAACTACAGTCATCCCTAGATAATCCTCAACAGCTTTAACGCCACCAGATGGGGGACACAAAGCCCGTTTCTGCCAATGGCTACTGAGAAAGTTATCATCACCTACTAATCCTGGTGGATCTGAATACAATTACATTTTTAATCTGAGGGTTTAGAATGAGAATATAAATGAAAGTCAAAGCTTCATTTGTATCCAGCATTCCGTAAGCACCACAAGTTTAAATTTCCTTTTGATTTCTGAGGCCCTTCACAACACAACTACTATCTAACTTTCTAGGGTTCTTGTCATGATGTAGCAACTGCAGGTATGGTCCAATCAGCAAAGTCTGCAGGGAACAGCCACCTGCTCTGGATTAGAATTTATATTTCTTGTTATCGTGCCTAAAACCACACCAGCTTCTCAACCAGCTTGGTAATCTGTCTGCTACTACTTGGCTTGTACAAGGTGATCAAGAAAATTTGCATTTCACCATAAAGAAATGATAAATCTGAAAGTGGTTCATTGCCTTGACTTAATCATTGGCCAGAGTGTATGTATGTTGAGCGTCACACTGTGTTTCATAGGTATAATTATTAAGTAATTACTGATCAATTAAAAATAAGATCAGGGGCTTGGGATATAGCTTCATTGGTAGTGCTTGTCTTGAGTACATGAAGTCCTGGACTTGGACCCCAGTAACATAAAATAAATAAAATGTATACTTAAAAAATTAGCAGGGATTAGAGAAATGGTTCATTGAGCAAAGTGTTTTTTGTGCAAGCATGGTGATCTGAGATTTGATGGTGTGATTAATACAAAAACTGAGTATGGTCATGGGCCATCTATAGCCCTACCTCTGGTGAGTGAGCAGTGGAGGTAGGGAGGGGATATGGAGACAGAAGGATCCACAGATCCCACTACTCAGCCAGTCTTTCAGAAATGGTGAGCGCTAGGTTCAGTGAAAAGATCCTGTATCAAAAAATAAGGTGTAGGGCAACTGAGAAAGACATATCTTTGGCTTCTGTACACACACGGAATCACTGACATGCACATAGGCATGCACACAGGCATGCACACATAAAACACAAACAGACAGAAAAAAAGGAAACCCCTTAGCTGACACCTCTCTTCCACCCAACTACTGTAATGCACGTTTACATTAACTTCATTAACTTTTGGGAAGGTGTCTTTCAAATGGATGTTGTCAGCAATTCTAAACCAGTCTAATCCCAACATGGTGGTAAACAATGGGATCTGACATCCCTTTCAGTTCTTCATCTCTGAACTTTCAACCCAGCTGCTTTTGTTAGTTTCATTTCGCCATGAAGTTAAGTGATAACAGAGGCTTTGCAATCCCAGTGCTCACACAGAAAAATTGCTGTTTAATCCTGTCCCCTTGTGGAACAGCCCCCGTGTCAGGGTATGTGCATCTGTGATTACAAACACATGAGCCCATTCTTCAGAAACTACACTAAGGCCTGTCAAACTGAGGTATATTTAGACACCAGACATCCAGCTCTCTATAACAATAACAGCAGTCAGTTCTGTAATTCCCTTGTCTTCAAAAATATCTCAAAATCTTTCAAAAAATTCTATTTTAGTAAGATTATGGAACCCTCCAGCTAATCCAAAAACATCACAAAGTAAAATGTTTTAGTTATCAGGGAGGAAATAGGCTGATGGAAATAAAAGTGATACCCATGCCTTACATAACAGCACAACAGCCTTTAAAATGAGGAAGTTAGAGAGCTTTGGGTCCAAGATGATGGAGAAGAACAGCTTTGCTTTTATCATTTCCAATTTAGACCCTATAGACCATCACTTCCACTGTTTTTTTTTAAATCTCAAAGATGCTTATAAACACACCTCCAAATAGTCTTATAGTCAAGAATGAATCTCTTGCATTGCCTAGGTACTGAGAGCTTTTATATTAAAATGGAAGGTGGCAGGAGAGTCTGTAGGAAGACCAGAGCAGGAACAGGCATAGGAATTACAGGAACTGGCAGATTTAGGGTGGCAAGAAGTGAAGGAATTGATTGAAAGTGCAAGCGATGTACATCTGGAAGCAGTAAGAATTTTGACCACAGATGCAAAGCCCCCGTGATTTTCCAACAACGCCTTTTCCTAAGTGAGATCTACTGGCGAGTCCACTGCAGCTTTGGGGTATCAGTTTGAAAGGTAAAGCAATTGGATATCATCCCTTTAAAATATCATTCAGTTAGATCTTTTGTAATACAAATGACGTAATGAGATAGCCTTACTGATTCTAAAGAAATTGCTAGCGCATTTCATCAAAGGCATAATAATAGAAACATCGATTCACTCCTCACCATAAACATCTCCTTTTGATGCTGTAGTTGCCTTAATACTAAAACTTTTCATTTTCTCTAGAAAAAAAAAGCTTCCTCCATGCATGCACATCAGAGAGAGATCCAACTTGAAATAACACATTTCGAGATCCAACTTGAAATAACACATTTGTGCATCAATCTCAACTGCACTTGCATCTTCATTTACTACTGCATAGTGTCACTCTCCTTGACTATATGCTGCAAAATTACCTCCCAAATAAAGAAAAACCTCCCTGAAACCTGGGTAGCCAAGGTGAGGTGTTTTATGCCATCTCTGCAAATGTTGCCAGGGGTTTCATCTTCCTCCTCCTGCCATTTATTTCAAAGAGGAATGACCAGGCACTGGTTAGAAGCTTTATCGGTCTGAAGAACATTCAGCCACTTTTAGCAGAAGATGTCAACAAGAAAAAGTACCTCAGGAATAATATATCTGCAAATGTGCAGTGTGATTAGGAAAATCCATCAACACCCACTGCCACATTTCCAAATATTTTTACTAAGTGAAAAACAGCCATCAAGTCTGAGAGGATTTTTGAAGGCATTATATCCACAAGGGTATTTCATGAGTGATGCCCCTGAAATTCTTGGTGCTATGGAAATGAAGGAAAAGGATATTCTGGATACACATGAGACATGCCACTCTTGCTTAATCAACCTCTTGGTGTGAGGGGCCTGTTGCTTCTAACCTAGCATGCCTTTTAGAAATATAGTTTAAAGAGCTTTGGGCTGCATCGAAATGAATTACCATCCAACAATTTAACAACATCCAAGTAATTTATTTTTTCAATACAGCTTCAAAATTTCTGGCTACACTAAGCATCTAAACTCACAGACTGTCTGACATTTGGCTAAGTCTTTCATACAATACCAACTTGATACCATGAAAGAAATGTATTTTCAACGGCTTTGGCTCTGTAAATGTCATGTGGGTGTCCTTAGGGGATTGCATTATGCACCTTGCACCCACTATGAAGTTCTGCTAATGAGAGATATAAAGGTTATGTTGAAATTATTGTTTAAAGATGCTGACATCACATACACACACATACATACATACATACACATACACACACACACACACACACACACACACACACACACACTCACAATCCCATATTCAAATAGATACTGAAGAGCAACTGTTTAAGGAATAAAGAGAGCATAGAGTAGAATCTATTTCAGATAGGTTATTCTGTGACTCCCTATGCAAGACAATGCTTGTAATTATCTGTTCCCATTGACCAATTGATTCCACAACATCATTACATAACAGCTGAGCATCTGTACTAAGATCCTTGAGATGGCAGGAAACACAGTGAAGAATACTCTAAGTCTCTACACTGAAATATAAGCTGAACAGACATAATTGTTTCATTCCTATAGTATTTAGGCATTCATTCAACAATTCGCTAACTTAACATATTTGGCAATAAGGCACAATGGTAGAACAAAGAAGGCGGACTGGAATAAAAGGAAGTGTTAAGAACACGGCCCAACTTCCTATTTTGCAGGCAAATGGATCAAATTGGGGAATATTAGCAGAAAGCTAGCAATGTCGGGGAAATATCAGTTCTCTTTAGAGTATGTACAAATTTCTGAACCATACAAGAGATAATGGAAAGGACACAGCTGAACACATGGATTTTATGGTGTAAAAAATATCTGTTGTGGTTACTACATCTTTAATTTATTTTTAGAAAATGACAAAACAGACTTGTTTGAGGTTTCCCTTACACTACTACAATGAGAGCAAAGGTCCATACAAACTTCACCAAATCAGCACAGCATATTGTAATGGAATGTGTGCTAGATAGAAAAATCTGATATTATTCATGCAATCATCAGTTCCTCCAGTTGTGATACAGAAGAATTTGAACAAGCACATTTGCTTACTCACTTTCTAGTCACTATAAAATTATTATAATGACTTACCTCTTACCTCACATGGGCTTCTTAAAATAAGGTCAGGGCTATAAATTTTGGAGCAAGTCTTTATAAAACTATGAAATTAAAAAAAATTGACACTATATTGTATATGTACATGCCTGTATATTTTGATACTTAAGAGTAAGAAAGAAAAGTGCACTGCTAAAGACAAAACCACCTTGGTTGGGATAGTGAAATACATCAAATTCTCTCCAAATCTAAATTAAAAAAGCAAATTCCTTTCACAGATTGGGAACTGAGCGACAGCATGTAAATTAGAACAGTATTTCTTCACCTTTTGATCCAAGCTGTAGGCCAGCACCCAGTCCTCCTGCTTGGGATGGAACAGCAGGCTCTGGATGTAGAATGCAAGCCGATACTTTTGGTAGGTCGCACCTTCATCTGAACTGATCAGTATGCTGCTCTCCATTTCAGGATCACTAAGAAGCATGATCTAATGGAAGGACAGAGGAGGAAATATGGACACAATTAGTACAATGGAATAGATATAAAACAAATCATAAATACTGGTATATCTTGTCTCTCAGAGTTACTCTTTCAAATTGAGCTGAAAGCTGATACAAGTCTAAGTCCATACACAAAAGGAGACTTCATTTTACTATTATGTCTAAAGTAATAAGGTGTGCTAAGGTGGTCCTCCATCCTCTGACTTTGGGATACTCACACCAATTCTAATTCTCTCTATTGCAACATTGATCTTTAGGCATGGGAAAGATCCTCCTCCCCATGATCCCATTTTATTCTTCTGTTCGTTCTGAATTGTTTAAGTAGTTTGATGATACCTTTGTTACAGGCATTTTCCAAAGCACATATCCCCAAAGTCTCTTCATACCTGTAAAACCAGATACCTAGGCATTTTCTGCTGGGATATTTAATAAATGCATAAACGCAAGATACCCCAGAGTGACACCTACTCCAGGCTCCACTGCCCTCAACTCCATCAGTATTTCCACCTGCCATCTACATGAAGCAGAGTGCCTGGATTCATCCGTGACTTCATTTTCAAATTCCTTTTGAAATCAGCCTATCTCTTAATGCTGTGGCTTGTGTGTGTTATATGCATACAGGTGTGGGGCGGTACACATGCCCATGTATGCACATGCAGAGAGCAGAGAAGAATAGACATTAGATGTCTTCCTTTGTTGTTACCTATATTGTTTAGGGGACAGGGTCCCTCACTGAACATGAAGCTCCTCGTTTTGGCTAGGCTTGATGGTTAGGAAGCTCCCTGAATCAGCCTGTCTCTCTCTCTCCCCAACACTGGGATTACAGGCATATGCAGCAATGCGAGGTCTTATATGGGTGCTGAGGATTCAAACTCAGGTCCTCTTCTTTGCACAAATGCTCTTACCTACTGAATCCTCTCCCCAGCCCTACCCTATGAATTTTGACTCCTAATTAATTCCAGCATAAAATCCATTTTCTTTCTACTTACTGTGATTACCTTAATATAAAAAAATATGACTAGGACTCCTACATTAAATTCCACCTACCCAGGGCTCAGGGACCATTGTAGAGGAGGGGGCAGAGACATTGTAAGAGTCAGGGAGGAGGTAAATGACCATATGGAAACAAGAGTCCTACAGGCTCCTGGGACCTTGCTCATATGAACCCATAGCAATGGTGTCAGCATGCACAAGAACCATGCAAACTCAAGCAGACAAAACCTCAGAATAGAACTGGGGAAATGGGCAGCAGGCCCCAACCTTAGCCTAAGGATTACTGACAGCTGATTACTCCTGGGTGAGGAATCACTGATCTTCTTAAAAGGAGTGACTCTAGATAGGCCGACTAGATCTCAGTGGGTGAATTTGCACTGAAGGATGTCTAGGGACACTAAGTTGACATGATAGGCCTTAACACAAACGACAGAATGCATGAATTCCAGTGGAGGGGTGCAGCTACGGGAGGGTGCCATGGGAATGGGAATACAAAGATAATTAAGATGTTCTATATGAAATATACAAAAATTCGATAAAACATTTACAAAAAAATCACTTGGACCAAATTTCTTTGAGGTGCTGTTGTTTGCTGAGTGACTGCATTACTGAATAAAATGATCTCCTACTAAAATACTACCTGTCTTTGGGTGTAATACCACCAATTGTAAAGTATACTGTTACCATATGGTATAAACCATGGAAAATGAAATACAAAATAAAGTTAAAAACTTGCTTTTAAAAAATAAAACTATTAACTAGTAGGATTTTTAAATGCTTCCTGATACATGTATTAGTATTATAAAGTAAGCTTTGAAACAAGTTTAAGCCTTTTAAGTGCTAAGATTCATAGTCCTTTCTCTCTTTTAATCCTCTCCAGCTTTGAAGACAAGTTTAATTTTTTTCTCAAATATTTGCTTTGCCCCCATTGAAATAAGTCATCATTAGCTATCAGCAATTTTTGAAGCAATAGCATATGTAGTTCAATAATTTTGTATTAATGTGTGAGAAATCCGAAGCTAAGCTTAGATGGACTACTCACATGAAACCTCCTCTTCCTCCTGGGAACTCTAATGGGAGAAGGAACCCTGTTGGAAGCATCCAGATGTGCTTCAGAAGACCTTCAGGGTAACGTCTGTAGGGCTTGCAGAGCTTGCAAACACAGATCTACCAGGTAAGAATGACAATTTATGACTAGTCTTGCCTATATCATACTGTGTACCCACCAGCAGGTGGGCTATATAACAGGCAATGAAACCATTTTCCTCTAGTACAGAGAAATTAAACAGCTTAATTTATGCAGGTATAAAGAAGCCTCATTCCTATGAGTTCAATTAGAAGATAAGGCCAGCATCATAAATGGACTTTATTTTATATACCATGAGTTACAATATGCGTTATAAGGTTGGCCATCAGACATCTTGCACGATGGACTCTCTCCCTTTAGCTCTGTTTCTTCCTCTGTGTTTGCGCACATTTGCAAGTACTAGGATACTATCTATACCCAAGCACACATGGATGTGTACACACATACACTTACAACATGCACATATCCTACAAACATGTATGCATACACATACAGAAATGCATTTAGAGGTTTAGCTCAGTAGTAGAACATTTGACTACAGAAATGAATTTAGACATAAGACATATTGGCATTGTGTGATGGTTTTATACAGCTTTTGTTTGCAAGTGTTCATTTTTATTGCAACCTTTCTGTGACATTATCATCAGAAATCCTTCTACATACTTTGATATCAGTATATGTCTTCTTCAAATGTCTCATAGGTCTCAATCTTGCTTTTCCAAGAAGAATGAAATGAAGGGAAAAGGAATCCTGCAATTTTAATCAGTTTTAGGTATTTCACCTGATATTTTATACAAATCTCACATAAGTCATGTGACAGAAGTAGGGTTACTTGCATTTTACAGATAAAGAAACTGAGGGTCAGGACAAAAGCAATTTGCCCGTTACACTAGTGAGTGACTGAAATCCCACCAGCTATACACACAAACACAGATAAGTGTTTTCTTAAAGCATGACTAAGATACCCACTGGGGAAATAAAAATAGCTTCAAGAAATCCCTTATTCCTCCAACTCATTTTCTACACCTGACCTAGGGGATATCAAGAATTTAATGAATAGGAATCAAAGGAGAAAGTACAATATTAATTGTTGGTGCTCAAAAAAATAGAAGGACCATAATACTAACCTAAGGCAGCAAATGCTGTGTTGTAAGTTATATCTCAAAGGAAAATATATCTTATGTATCATTATATCAAATATATAAAGAAAATCATCTCATGCCTATACAGTGTTTCATTGTTAAGTGGGGAGTTCCATTCAGACTTTTATGGATTAAAGCGAGTGAAGTGGACAGCCACAGCAGATAAGGCAGGACAAGAAGTGGAAAGGATTGGATCAAACTGGAAAGTACATATGTACATATTACTCCTCAAAATAATTACAAAGACCTTACTGAATTTTTGCGAATTTCATGTAGCATGGTTTGGTCATATTTTAGGCCCCCCTCCCCTATCTGCATTCCCCTATTGACCCCCTACCTGGTATCATGTACCCTAAAATCCCCAAATAGCTTTCCCTGTTGGTCCATCCATTGGAGACTGGTTAACCTCCCCAGAGTCAAAATCTTAAAGCAGATTGACTCTCCCCCTTCCGGTTACTTTCAGTTGCCAGCACTTCCTCAGTTAGGGTTGGGATTTCTTTCCCACTTCCCAAGTTCTCTGCTGGGATTTTTGTCTGGCTTGAGTTTACAAGTGGGACTTGTGCATGCTATCATCATTGCTGTGAGATCATATGAGTAATTGCCCAGCTGTCTGAAAAACTCTGTTTCCTTGTGGTCATCCATCACCTCTGGCTCATATACTCTTTCCATCCTCTCTTCTGCAGTGATCCCTGAGCCTTGGGAGGCAGTGGTTTGATATAAGCATCCTATTTAGAGATAAACTCTCTGCAGTCTCTTATTCTGGCCCATTTACCAGTTGTAGGTTTCCATGTTAATAACCATCTGCTGCATGAGAAAGCTTCTCTGGTGAGAGTTGACAGATGCCAGGTATAAATCAATACATTAATAGTCACCTGATTTTTGGCAAAAGGGCCAAAAATGCACACCAGAGAAAAGACAACATGTTCAACAAATGATGCTGGTTAAACTGAATAGTTACATGTGCAAGAATGTAAATAGGCCCTATCTCTCACCATGACCAAAACTCCACTCCAAATAGAGCAAGGACCTCAACATAAGACATGATACCCTGAAACTGAAAGAGAAGAAAAGAGGTAATACATAGGAAATTAAAGGCACAGGAAAGAACTTTCTGATTCCTATATCCCAAACATTAAGTCAAAAAATTGACAAGTGGAACCACATGAAACTAAAAATCTTTTGTACAGCAAAGGACACCATCATGCTCATGAAAAGGAAAAAAATCTTTACCATCTATATCGCGACAGAAGCTTAGTATCTAGAATATACAGAGATCTCAAAAAACTAAACATAGAAAAAAAATCACCAAATAACCCAATTAAAAATTGGGGCAAGGAATCGAACAAGGAGTTCTCAGGTGAAACACAAACGGCTGAGAAACTTTTTTTTAATGTTCAACAATTTTAGTCATAAGGAAAATACAAATTAAAGCCACTTTGAGACTTCATCTTACAATACTCAGAATGGCAAACAACAAATGCTGACCAGGATGTGAGGAAAGGGGAACTCTTATTCACTTCTGGTGGGAATACAAACTGGTGCAGTCACTATGGAAATCAGTGTGGAGGTTTCTCAAAAAGCTAGAACTAGATCTATCCATGCATCCATACTACTGTTGAGCATACACTCAAAGGACTCTGTATCCTACTATAGAGATACCTGTTCTTCCATGTTCATTACTATTCTAATAGCCAGGACATTGAATCAGCCTAGATGTCCATCAACTGATGAATGGATAATGAAAGCATGATCCATTTACACAAAG